ACACGGTTGGCTGTTAAGGAGTACTAGGGTTTTCAGTAAGAGGGTAGTTGGTCAGCATCCTAAAGCATGGTTGTTGTTCGAGTTCGAAGGCGTATAGTTTATGGTAGAAAAATTAGAAGCTTCACTAGAGATTCAGTAGACGTATTTTGTTTATTGTACATACATAGCATACGGGGCTAAAACGTACCTTATAAACGCCAGGAAGAAAATGTACATGAATACTTAATAAAAGATCAGTGCAATTGTTACCTTCAGTTTATTTGATAATGTTTATTACAATCAATCTGAACAAATTTCGAAGTGGAACAAATTTTAAAATTATTGCAAATTTACTAACCGCTATATTTTAAACGTGTTTTACACGGGAGAATCGTGAAATCGAATTTTTCGAAATGTGTACCGAATTAAATTATCTTGATATTCTCGTTCTGCCTTAATCCAGCTGGAATATCGAGTGATGCCCGTAAAAAAGCCATTAAATAAATCTCATACAATAGATCATATACAATACAGTCCACTAACCGTGTTATCTACGTATGCATTTATGAGTGAACCATCAATCAAATACAATCACAGACTGCAGTCCAAAGTGAGAAAATTGTATAAAAAATATTTCAAACAGTGTAGGTGCAATGGCGGAATTCATTGAATCTTGAAGAAACTAATTGTTAACTAACTAATAAACTTGAAAACTAATTTAAGGACGAGGTATGTATAGCTGCTAAATTGAGCGCCAATTTGAGATCTTGGAGCACCGACATGCATTCGTTGAGATTAGATGAACGATAAACTTGAAGAATCTATATACATTATCTAGACTTACTCTTGATGGAATCACCAAACGACTGATTCGCATCTAAGTCACATATAATATTTTTAGACCATCTAAATTAAAACGTTCTACTTTACAGTAGATTTCCCTATTTCTTTAATATTACTCAAATAAGTAAATTAGTATGGAAAGAATACGTGTTAACAAATCTGAAGAGAACATCCGAAGCCCACTAACCAGAAGCTGGTGAAAGCAGAAAAGCGATAGAATAAAGTATATGTATAGATATATCATTAAGTATAAAGAATAGATATATCATGAAGTATAAAGAATAAAGAAAAGCGATAGAATAATGAAGATGCAATCACGCAAATATGAAAATCAGTGAAACGGCAACTTCAAGTTTCGTGAAAATCAGTGAAACGGCAACTTCAAGTTTCGTGAAAATCAGTGAAACGGCAACTTCAAGTTTCGTGAAAATCAGTGAAACGGCAACTTCAAGTTTCGTACTGCAATAAGACCGAGAAGTCCGTCAGTTTGACGACGATGTCTTCGCACGACTCGCTTATAATCATCGATATTAGTGATTATCAGCTCCTGTGCGAGTAGATTTAGGTAGAAATTAGTGGTTATCAGCTACAGTGCGAGTAGATTTAAGTCAATGTTAGTGTCGCACAATTGTCGGATCATTTACAACAAAAATCATACAATTGAACAAAGTAATTTCTAAATTTGTTTGTATGATAGTGAGAACTAGGATTAATTACGTTCGCGCCTCTGTTGTCTCGTAGTGGTAGAAATATATTACAGTGCAGCCTAATTTATCGCGCTGAATAGTACAGTGTGATTCACGGAAAATTCTTGATCTGAAAACTCCTTAAAAAAGCATTGTAAAGATATCATTACAATATAAATTTTATTGAAATAGACAGTACCCTGGTTTTTGTATTAATAAATTTTAAAGATGACATCTGACAAATGACAGCCCTCATTGTCAATGCATTCAGTTAGTCGATTTTTTAAGTTCCGTTCAACTCTCTGAAGCATATATTGACGGGTATGTTGGCGATGACTTGGCTCATGTTGTACTTCAAATGAGGTAGGGTGCTTGGACAGTCATTGTATACAATTGATTTAAGATTGCCCCATAAAAAATCAAACGGAGCAAAATTGGGCACCAGGCCTGCCAGAGAAGATCACATCTCAAGGAGATGAGTCGCTCTGCAACAGNTCTTATACACATCTAGATGTGTATAAGAGACAGGCCTAAGTATATGTAGCAGCCTAAGAACATGTCACAACCAAAGTACATGAAGCGGCCAAGTACATGAAGCGGTCCAAGTACATATAGCGGCCTAAGTACACGTAGCGGCCTAAGTTGGTGATCAAATGTTTGGGCCAAGTCAAGGTTAGCGGAAGGGTTGTGAGGTTAAGTGTTTCGGTCAAGCTTAGGTCAGGGGATGTAGGTGATAGGGTTACAAGCTTAAGATGAAGTTATGGTAACTGGATGAAACAAATATTACAAATATTGGGTGAAGCAATGGTATGTAATTTTACTATGCTGTGGATTTTACTATAGAGTTTTCAAAGCATATGGTGAGAACAAGGAGTGAATGGATCATAATGGATGAGAAGTCAGGGATAGAGCCATGAAGAGGCAAGTTAAATATGAAATTAATTTTTGGTGTGATTTTCGATTTACAATGGGTCGGGCGAGAACATTATAGTTTAATATTCTGTGATAGAATTTTTATAAATAGCGTCTAATAGAAACATTGCGATAACCAAACAATTGATTGCGATAATCAATTTGAGGTGAGGTCGATAACGTAAACACCATATCGTGTTCTGGGTAAACAATGTAAGATTAATAGAGTTCAAAGTGAGCTACGAAGGGATACTATATACTCAACACACTATAATCTTGACAAGAATAATTATTGTTTGAATGATATGATTTGGCCAGGAAATTGTTCACGACGACTGATTACCGTTCATTTCATTTACGAAATTTATAGAAGAAAAGAAAAGTGTTGAAGTTAAATTTTAGAAACTAATAGTTATACAAATGTTATTAATTAAGATTTAGACGCTAATAGTTATAGAAATGTTATTAATTTAGATTTATAAGCTAATAGGTGTAGTAGTCCTTGGCTAATAGTTATAGGAATGTTATTAATAATTAGGGAAATGACTAAACAACGGGTTTTTGGCAACGATACGATGAAAAATATAACGAATGCTGGGATGAGTTGAACAACATTAGGGTTTCGCCACGATAAGAGGCAATGTTTAGCACAATAATATGTCTCGAGACATATTATTATGCTAAGACATTTAGCATAATAATTTAATATATTTAATAATAAGTAATCGAGACATATAGCATAATAATAATAATATGTCTCGAGACATATTATTATGCTAAGACATTTAGCATAATAATTTAATATATTTAATAATAAATAATCGAGACATTTAGCATAATAATAATAATATGTCTCGAGACATATTATTACAGTGTAATAATATGTCTCGAGCTGATGAATAGTTGACCTCCGTTCTATCCAGATAATCAAGACTTAACAATTGAATTTGCAGCGGTAAAGTGAGGGATATTAGAGAGGCAAAATTTAATTAAAGAGATGTCTGTTGAATGGATTTACTCATCAATAAATCTGATGGATGACGAATGTCGTAAGCTTGACGTTGATAAATTTAATGCTGGAGACCAATTTGGATGCCATCAGCTAGAGTACAGCAAGAAGGTTCATTCAGAGGCAGCAGGGCAGTAAAAATGGAGCTTGATATATATAATTAATTCAGTTAACCATGAAAAAATTAACAAATGAGGTTATTTGTACAACCGAGATCATTCAATGGTTCGAACGTAAAAAGTAGTCACCATTCTGGCTGCGGTTGATAGTTACATTAGTCAATTATATAGTATAAATTCAAATGAATAAGACTGACATATATCGAACTTAGAGATAGCCACTGAAAGTTAACTCCAAGATTTAATTTATTTCAGAGACATTAAAAAGACTTGGCCAGCCAATGAAAAAAAAAAAACAACGCAAATTTTATTTAACCCCAAAGCTAGGTTGACGTCGTCTCAATGTTCGAGTTCAAGAGCTCCTGGACAGCTCTTAAGTAACTCTGCAGTGTAGAAAATTCGCGTTTATTTTTTACCAAACTTTACTCGAATGCAATTTATCCCGACCCTTCGTCTTCGTTTCTCTTGCGAATTTGGACCGGATTTGAAGCAAATTTCAGGAAATTCAAGCATCATGAACTTAGGAAAAGAAAGTTGCGGAAATATAAAATATTTATTACTTCTTCTCTGGGTCTGAAATTGTGTGGTCTGGAGCCCGACAAAGAATTAAAAGACTACGCAGGCAAAAAAGTTTTAACTTCTCATGTGGCTACATTTTTTTTGAGGGGCCGTAAGTTTTGAATCAAAGTCAAGAGGAAACTTGGTCATGATTCGACAACTTGGCCAACTGATGCCAAGTTGACGCGGTTTGAAAGTAAAATTCAGGAAAATAAGCTTGGACACTAAGTGAAATTTTTATACTTGGAATTCAGCCTATTTTTTATATTCTGTTTATATTCAGCCTTTTTTATAGTCGTGCATCTGCTTAATGCAATCTCACTGCTAACGATATACGATTCTTTGTTTAATTTTCTTTGACACAAATGAAGCATGCAGAGATTCCAGAATTATTTTAATCTGTAATGCTCGTTTCTAACCGGTAATCCGTGATTTGAGAGTAGGTGGCAAAAATACCAAGATAAGGTGGCCACCTAAGATAAAAAACTAAGTAGGTTAACTAAATACTAAGAAATAATAAGAATTAAGGCAAAAATGCTAAAATTTGTATAATTAAATAAAAATGTGTGTTGAGTCCAAAGAAGACTCACCAAATTTAAAAAAATGATTAAGAAAATATAATACCCAAGGATCCAACTCAACAAAATATTGGCACTTTAAACTTTAACCTACATGTGCGTAACTCCTGAGAAGAACAGCGATTCGTTCTTTTAAATGTAACCTAAGCATTAATAATTCAATTGAACATAACTTACAAGCCTGGCATTGGATGCGTATGCGCTAATTAAATTCTATAATTGATTTATTGACTTCTTTAATGATAAAAAAAAACTGAAATTTGTGTTACGAAATCTACAGACCGAGTATAAAACACTGAAATTTGTGTTACGAAATCTACAGACCGAGTTTAGCGAAGAGGTTTCTGGCGACTCCCAACATGGTCTGGCAGTGGCTGCGCTGCCGTCTTTCTGACTCAAATGCCAGCGTCGTCAGCAGCAGAGGCAGAGCGTACCTGATCATTAATGTTTAGCTAGCATTAAAGATAAAAATATTAGATTTGATCATTAATAATTAGCTCGCATTAAAGCTGAAAATATTACGTTTGATCATCAATAATTAGCTCGCATTAAAGATGAAAATATTTAGTCTCAGTTCTAAGGTGAGACATTTAGTTCTTGATAAAGCTGAAAATATTTTTTCCGTTCTAAAATTAGACAGTTCTTTATGAAACTGAAAACATTGTTTCAGTTCTAAAAGTAGACAATTTGTTCTTGATAAAGCTGAAAATATCAAGTTTCAGTACTAAAATTAGACAATTAGTTCTTGATAAAGCTGAAAATGTTAAGTTCCAGTTCTAAGATTCGACAGTTCTTGAATAAGCTGAAAATATCAGTTTCAGTTCTAAGGTTAGACAATCAGTTCTCGATAAAGCTGAATGTATCAGTTTCAGTCTGTTCCACCAAAACTATAATCTTTACGAATTTTTCTCACTTTCAAGTTAATTTGTGATTTTGGCATTGTTCCATTTGTAATGAGTACCGTAACACATCTAGGATTTTTATCAATCTTAGCAGATTGATCAAGTGAATGCTATACCAAAAGAAAATTATTATGTCTTACTAAAAAATATACGATATTTATGTAACTAATTTTCGAAATTTCCAGCCCTTGATCTCCAGTGTTAAAAGCAAAACAATTAATAATAAAAAACTGGAGAAATATTTAATGTGCGCTTTGCTCACCTGGAGATCTCATGAACGCATTGAATGTCAGCTTCAGTAAAATCAACTTCATGGTCATTTCTAAAATCCAAGCCAGCGTTGGCCAATCCAACGTCAAGTTTTCTTGCAAACTCTTGATCTGCAGTCAGTCTGGTACTCTTGGAAGAACTATCTGGGTAAGCATTTTCTCGGGACACCTTATCAATAAAACAGGCAAGAATAGCTGTCGAGGAGCATCCTTTGTCTTGAACCACTTGGTCGTCATCGTTTTTGTGATGGGGCAAAACATTTTTCTTGTCAGGGTGTGGCAAAGGGACACACAGGAATGTTTCAGGTTTAACGTAATGTTCAGAGGAGTTGTTGCTGGTGTAAGCGCTGTCAGTAGCGCTAAAATGAGTCGATTGACCGCGGTCAATTTCGTTTGCTGAAGGATATAGGAAAACACTATCTGATATTAAGGCCTCAGGTGTCGGCGACGCTCCAATCGTCCCAGAGGATTCCCCATCGAATCCTTTTGCCGCCCGATTCGTTAATAAGCTAGAGGAGGTCACCGAGGTCGGAGACGATGGAATAATTTTGTAGTCGTTCTCAGGAAGGCAGCAAGGTGACTCTGTACTCGTTGAACTCTGGGATACCTCTTCGTTGTCGGAGCGGCTTTTCTTCGTTCTATCGGTGCTTTTATATGACGTCGATCGACCCACAGGATTCTCAACTGGACTGGCCCCAGATGATAATGTCCTAGAGACTTGTCGAGACGCCGCCAAGTGGGCGGGAGAGTGCAGAAGGTGGAGGACTTTAAAGAGGTCTTCTTGTTGCTGAGGACTCAGGTGCTTCAATGTCGTGGGGAGTTTCGTTGATAGCGCTCGATCGAAGCACGGAGTAGTGACCTGCCAGAATTGACGATATTAACTGGATCTTTGACGAGAGTGAAATTGCCCTGAACGCCATTTATGTAGAATTATTCCTGTATTGTGTCAATACAAAAAAAAATTTATTGTGTCAATACAAAAAATTTGTATTGTGTCAATACGAAAAAAATTGTATTGTGTCAATACAAAAAATTGCATTGTGTCAATACAAAAAAATTGTATTGTGTCAATACATGTAATTTTGAGATGAGCAAGAAATAAAAATTTTGAGTTACACGATAACCACAACGACATTTTGACGATACGATCATGTGTACTTGAAATCATATACGTACATAGCCCTTGTGACACGATATCGCATAACCAAGCTTTGGTAAAATTATGTTCTAAATGAACTATAGATGTTTCAATTTCTCTCTACAAAAAATCCCCCGTGGTAAGTTTTACGTGATATGGCCTAGGCCAGACCAAAACCGCGGACCTTCTGAACCCCCAATCACAAAAACGTTTAAAATTTAGCACAAAAACGTTTAAAGTTTAGACGAGGGAATCTGTCGTCAAGAACTTGCGACCATGGAAGTTTTAACGGAGGAACTTACGGCAACTTTGACGCGTGCAGGGAGGCTTTTGTCGCCCAAGACGTGCACGATGAGATCTTCTTCGTCTGGAGCTGCTATCACCAAAAAGACGAGGCGAGCAGACACTGCCTTAGCCAGCTGTGTGTAAAAATGTCGTCTTTTATACGTGTTAAAATCGAGAGTCATCAACGCGGAAACATATGTTATGAGAGCTTATTCGTCAACTATAACGTATATATTTTTACATTTTCTTTAATGCAGGTTTCGTTGAAGACATTTACATAATGTTTATTTATGTAAATTTATTTTTACATATTGTACGTATTTTTACATTCTTCCATAATGACTCTTTCGTTGACACTTAAAGGATGAAAGAAGAAAGATTCACTCTATTCAAACTCAAAACCGTTTAAAACACTAGGTAGCGGGCAATATTTGTGAAAAATGTGCAAGGCAAATAAACGAGACAAAGTAATTGTATTACAGGAGCAAGTGCTATAAATACTTCGTAATTTGCTTGTGGAATACTAGACTAATTTTCTAAATTTCCAAAATTTACACCAGTTATTATTGAATTTAATATTGATAACCACATTATCACAAGAAAGGATAATTAACATTAGAAACACAACAATACCTAACGTTTAAAAAAACACTAAACATGTATAAAATAATATTGGAGCTTCATCGATTACTTAATTTGGTGATTCTTCAATTCAGCTCATTTGAACATGGGTGCCCGAACAGCAAAAAATAATAAAACTAAAATAAATTTACTGCAACTAACAAATTGCCAAATTAAAATACACCGAATAAATGACTGAACGTAAAAGGGGAAGGTTAACAAAATAAAAAATTCGAATGAACGTAAATAATGTAGAAAAAGCGTCGAAATATGATTCCATTAGCATCGAGAAGGCTCATCGATCGCACGAGAGATAAGTGACATTATCACTATTAGATACGTGTATTAGACTGGTGATTAAATGAGGGGACGACGGAAAAAAAGAGATCCAAATCGTGCTCCGTAAATCAAAAAGTCGGATTTCCAGCAGCCCATGTGGCTCTAGCTTCATGGCTTCCGCAAATCTCGGAAATTATTACGGTACATGAATCTTACCCTTAAGAAATGCTGACTGTAAACTCGGGCCACATTTCTTTTGGAAAATTTTTATGAAAATGCCGGATATGACAAGAGCCTCTAAGAAAAATTTAGTGAACGATATAGGCAGTATATGGGGTGTGAAAGTATAATTATAGGATGTGAGTGTGCAGTTATAGGGAGGGGAAGTACAATTATTGGCTGGAAAAATACAATAAAGGGCTAGGAAATTATAATTATAGGGTGGTAAAGTACAATTATGGGGTAGGAAAGTACAATTATGGGGTGGGAAAGTGCAATTATGGGGTGTGAATGTACAATTATGGACTGGGAAAGTACAATTATGTGGTGTGAATGTACAATTATATGGGCTGGGAAAGTACAATTATGGACTGGGAAAGTACATTGATGGGGTGGGAAAGTACAATTATGGGGTGGGAAAGTACAATTATGGGGTGGGAAAATACAATTAAGAGGTATGAATGTACAATTGTGGGGTGGGAAAGAACAATTATAGGCTGGGTAAGCACAATAATAATTCTTCAATGCCATCATAAAAGAAAGACAAAAATCGACCATGCGTGTCAAGCCATCATGAGCTTGGAACAATTTCTCTATCACGGTTTCTGCAGCGTCGGCCAAGACAGGGCGCGGGCCTTCTCATCAGATTGAGGCTTGAAGTTTAAATGACTTCCATTAACTTCTGGAGTGTAACTTGAGACTGGAAATCAACTTTACCAGCACATGACCTCCAACCACACGACGACACGATCGTGAAAACTTTCGAGATTAATAAATGTTCATTTAGGTCTTCATTGCAAACTTGGGCGACCAACATGTGATTTTCGTAAACTTCTACATTGAGGAAGAGAAAGGATTATCTTTATCGGATCTTCGATAATTAGAGGATTCCATGGGCAATTTTTACAATTCTGAGGGAGCACACTTTTAAGCGTAACTTTTTATTCTATAATTCATGGAAAGAAGTTCAAAATCATATAAGTAATCGAACGAATTAGTTTGGGATGATTTTTTCAGTGTGAACTTAACTTTTAATCGATACAAGTATTTTTTTTAATTATTCAAAAAGAAAAATCTATTAGCCACAGCAGGGATAATTAAAATTTTCCGATAAAGAAAAAGACAATTAAAATTTTTCGCATTCGAAAGAATAACCAGCCTCTAATAAATGCACATATCACTAGAACGTTATTCATTTTGATTTTGTTTCAGTTTATGCTTCCTTCGCGTGATCAAAACTCCATTGAACTAGCAACGAGCTTCAGTTATTCTTAACAAACTTTGAAGTTTGTTAAGAATTGTAAGTTTGTTAAGAGTTGTTAAGAAACTTTCAGTTATTATTAATAACTCGATTTCTTAACAAACATTGAAGTTCACGAAAAGTTTGCTGCAGCCGTGAATGAGAATAGACCGTACCATGATGCAAGAAAGCTACGATTACAAACTTGGCGTAGAAGACCGTCGACAACCTCATGGCGTCGTTCGCACGCTTTCTTATAGCATCTCTAAACTTAAACTCGGAAGTTCATGAGCATTAATGAGGCATTTCGGCTAAAGGTCGAAAGGCCATGAGCCATATTGGGTAACTTCGGAACTTTCAGGAGATGGTAACGAGGTATCGCGAAAGAATACCAGTTTCTAAAGAATTAATTTCTTTTAAAGTCAAAGTTTGAGGATGAAATTTCAATTTGCGTGCCAATTTTTACTGATAAAGGCGTTCAGATGAATCCCTTTGGTAATAATGACCAAGCATTTAAAAAGATAATTTGAAGGAGATATCGGTATTTTTAAACATATTTCCTTTGTCTTAGTTGTTGCCCTCATTTTCGGTCGTAGCGTAAGTATAATATAGTAATATACTGTAGTTTTAGTTTAAGACGCAGTCGCTGTACATAAGCATAGGGCTGATAAGCATAAATTACGCACTATTGTAAAAAAATGCATAGATGAACTCTGGAGTCGTCTAGATTTTAATACAAAACAAGCATGAAATTTACGTCACGTGTGAGGAAACATTTTCTTGGCTAAAAAATTCTCAGCGGCCGAGGTCGGCATTTTGATGCGTCAGGTTTCAGTTGAGAGAGAGAGCCAGCATTCCTCTCTGAGCCACCATCGTCAAACAATAAAAGATCGTATATCCCTCAATTCCAAGGTAATCATCTCCCTTGAGAGGACTTGTGGGCGAGCACTTCATCTGCTTGCAGTTTTTAGCGCATTTTCTCATTTATGGAAAAAAGGCGCTATTGTGCTCGTCATGTCCGTCCGTCTGTCCGTCCGTCTGCGTGTGCTTCAAGTTAAAACGTTGAGTTTGTTAGTAATATCCTCGATACTGGTTCACAACATAAACTTTCAAGTTTCATATTTCATCCACACATGCAATCATAGCAGTTCACGTATCATCGTGTCTGACCAATGGCGTGTTGTTATTTACCCCTACTTTAGCAACACAGGTTAAACCGGCCATTAAGGTACTAAGTCATTATCTACTTGCAGTATCATGACCATTGTTCTCATTGCCTATTGGCTGCTTTTAAAGCGTATTTTCATATCGAAAGCTCCTGAATTTCGGACTTTAAGACTTCTTTAGTGAGACTCTGCACGATGGTTCTCGATAGACTTCCACTATACACGATGGTTCTCGATAGACTTCCACTCTACACGATGGTTCTCGATAGACTTCCACTCTACACGATGGTTCTCAACTCGCCGTGCAGAGGAAAAAATTGGATTTGACATCGCTGCATTTCACAAACATCCGTACAACGAGGAAGCTGCGTAAAAATTTACTTTGAGCAGAAGTTACGACTATGAAATAGGCGAACATTTTTTTAAATTATTTTTGTTTGTGTTCAAAAAGCTGAGCTGGGGCCATACTTTCAAAACTCGCTAAGTGAACGTAAGTACTTACGATCTATTTTCTTGTCTATGATTGGTGAATTTTGCTTGCGTGGCCGTCAATGATCGCGGCTGATGGACTTACGATCTCTTAACTTTTTTTGAAAGTATGGGCCCTGGAAAGCGTACATGTGCTCGAAGGAAATGATTTTATTCGCTTATTTGATATTCCTTAATATTTATGCATTTTTATAGGCGCACAGCAAAGGTATATGAATAGTTTTTATCTGAACACATGCATACCACACATTAGTATAGCTGCTTAAAAACCTTACTATGCACTTGCCAATAAGTGAAAGCCAATTTTTTTGGCTATAAGAATTGCTTTCGAATATTAACATGAGCAAATAAATCGAAGTTAGAGAGAAAAAATAATTATAACTGTTTAATAGCCATTAACGTTTTCAATTGATAGTAGCTATGTCACCATAGCGATATAAACTAAAAATAATATCTACGAAGCTTATTTGAAAGTTATATTTTTAAATCGGGCTTATAATTGAATTATTCTTGATACTTCATCATCATTGTTAAGAAAATTCCTGCACTCGATCAAAATCAAGTGCAGAGCTATCATGAATTTTCTTTCTTACGTTATTATCGTTATTATAAACAGGATCCAAAAAGAAACTAACTCAAGTTGGTCTTATCAAAGTTTGTAGAGTGAAACGAAATGATAAGGAAAACCAAAAATTATACCGTATGTGCGAGTAAAATATAAATAAATTACAAAATTTCAAACTATCACATACAAAATTTGTCGAAAAATTTGCACTGCATAATTAATTTCATTAAATATATTCCTCCAATGGGCCGTATTTTGTATATGCTACAAAAATAACTAAGCAATCAGTTTTTTTCAATTTTTTACAAAGATTTTTCACGCAACACAACAGAACTCTCACTATTTCCTCTAACTCCAGTATAAAACAAACTGATAAGAACAGAGCATTCAATATTTTCTCGAGCGCCAGTATAAAAACAATCGCAAACACCGAGTTTTTCTCTAATAGTTCTAAAAGTAACAATGTTTTCGCTCATTCACTTTACCCACTGAGCTTAAGGCGTTTCCGTTCTCTCCACAATATCGTNTTTTCTCACCCTCAGCACGAGCTGTCTCTTATACACATCTAGATGTGTATAAGAAACAACCTATGTACAAACCACT